TATCTTGAATTCAGAATGTCTATACCATTCTGTCTACTTCTGTTTTTGTTCTTAGTGATTATTATATAGTGACACAGCCCACTGCTACCAAGAACCAGTTTTTTTCACAACCCTGTGGTGAGCCATGGTGTAGTGAACAGGTCTGGCTTCCATTTCTCCATGTGATTCTATTAAAAAGTGTGAGCTCGGGTTTGAGATAAATCTTGGCAAAAAAGCCAAGCTTTTTTGCTTTTTAGCTTTGTTATCTTGGGAGAGTCACTTACATTTTCTCTGTGTCATTTTTTTTAACCTTTTTGTAAAGTGATACTAATACCACTTGGTCTTCAGTGTGATGAATTTCAAATAGTATGATATTTGTGGAAAGAGTTTGGAGAGATTAGAGATCCCTTAGACATCAATGAAAGTGTTGCTGAGAGAATGACTCTTACCCAGAGAGATCTGGTTGTCCTGTACACGAGGCAAGTGTTTTCGCAATAGAAAAGCCTGAACTAGAACCCCACCGCTGCCTGTTATTTGGGCAAGTTACTCTGCACATTTTCAATTCATAAGATGAAAAGTTGTTGAGGCACAGAAATAATAAACATGAAGCTCCTGACACACAATAAGCCATCAATAAATTATAGCAATTATTATTTTATGATCAATTATTGAATTACCATGCAGAGTTAGCAGGTTCAGAATACTAGGTCTTATTTTCTAAGGCATGCATACTAACTCACCTTGAACTTCAGGAAAAAGCCAATATACAATTTGGCTGTTCTTCTAGGAAATCAGCTACCCCAAATGACTGAGACCAGTTCTGGAAGCTTACCCTCATGCAGATCACACATTGAAGAAATCTGGACAGGTACCTTTCTTCAGAAAGCTGAAACAATAGAAATCTCTGCCTAAGTCCCATCTTCCATGGCTGCAGAAATTCTAGTAGACTGTTGGGATTTCAAAATTTATCTTTGCATTCTAAGTTTTTCTGAACAGGACAGAGTGAAATAATTCCCAACCCTTTTTAGCATGAGAATATCATTTTTAGGTTAAAAAATTAAAGGAATCCCATATAATAGTAGTTCTACTCTAAATTCTATTCTAAGTAGCCTTTGATTGAGAAAATACTTGATAAAAATTCAGCAACATTAAAAAATTGGCGAGTCCCCTCTGAAAACTTTTTTTTGAAAATAGGCAGTACATGAACTTGACACAAAATTCACAAGGTACAAAAGGGAATACTATGAAAATATCCTTCTTGCACCCCATCCCTCAATCACACTCTGCCCTCCTCAGAACCAACTATTGTTTCAGCTTCTGCTGTGTCACTATGCACTGTAAACACTTATATGTTTGTCCTTTAAAAAAAAGACAGAATGTTGGCATATCTTACTACTCTTCTTCATCTTGTTTTTTTTTCACTTCACAATGTCTTGTTATACTTTAAAATGGATATGTTTTAAAAAGAGAAAGAGTATGTATTTCATTTCTCATAGTGTACTACTGAAAAACTACATTGCATTTTTTAATACACAGAAAATTCTAGTGTGCAATAACTACCTACTACTTAGAGGTTCTCAACTCTTAAATTGGAAACCACTGAGATAAGTAAAATATCAATAATAGTCAACATTAATTTTGTCCCTTATTCTGCATCAGGCATTGTTTTTAAGCACTTTATACATTATCTCACATGATACACATCCTCCTCATCCTTCCAGTCTCAGTTTAAATGTTATCTTCTCAGAGTAGCCTGTCCTTATTCAAGGAGAACTACCCTCTCCCTTTTCCATTCTTCTCTATCATTTCATCCTGTTTATTTCCTTCAGGATACTCATCACTAAAAGTAATTAGTTACCCATTTGTCTACTACTTTACTGTTGTCTCCTCAGCCAGGGGAGCTTTGAAATGGGGACTGTGTCATTTTGGTTTACCACAGTATATCCAGTGACCAGTACAGTGCCTTAGTGCTTGGCACAGGGGAGCCATTTGATTGAATACTTATTGAATAAGTACATAATGTGCAAAAAAAGCTTTATGAGGTAGACCCTATTACTTTCTCCATCATACTTATGAGGAAGCTAAGGCCTAGACAATGAAATAGACTTATCTCAAAGTTAGTAAGTTACAAAATTGTTCTAAAACCCAACTTTGCTTGAGTCCAGAGTGCAAGCTCTTCACTACTACTCTGGTCTCAGAAACAGAAGACTGAGTACATTTTGCCCTCTGGGACTCATTCTTCTACTGAAAAAACAAGAGGATGAATGCAGACATCCTTCTGATGACCTTGCTTTGTGATTAATGAGATCTGTGATGTATGAAAATGAAAGACCAACAAGGTTGGTTTAATGCTCTTAAGAGCACTCATTTTCAGTTCTTTTCTTCCTTCCCATCTTCCTTCACTGAAGATGTTCTGATTCTTATTTTTTGCCAGGCATTGTGTTAGAGGTGATAGGAATCCAAAGACTACTAGGATCTATAGTGCCTAGCATTAAAGTGCCTGGCCTGATGGGAGATGCAGACCCATTAACAGCTGCTTGAAGTACAGTATCATAACAGTAATACTCTGTGTGAGGCACACGATAACACAGAAGAGGAAGGGATTATCCTGCATGTGTGAGGTGGTGGGAATGGAGGTGGATACAAGTAAGAAGGTGGGCGGTGAGGTATAATGCGGAGCTGGGCTTTGGGGAAAGAATATTTTTCCAGGTGGGGAAGGTGAAGGTGAGGCTTCCAGGACACAAGAGACATCCTGTGTGGAAGTACACCAAGAAATAGCATAACGTGCTGAGGATTACTAGGGTAGGGATTTAACTCTGAGGATATGAAGCTGCTAGGTAGAAGGAGCCCATAAAGAGACTTGCTGAAGAGTTTGTACTTTAGTCTTGAGAGCAGTGGCATGGCCAAATCATATTTATATTTTGTTTTTAGAAAGTTCACTCTGACAGTGGTAGGACTGGAGGTGCGTGATGAGGCAAAAGGGGTGGAGATCAGTTAGGAGGCATTGAAGTTTTCCAACTGAGAGATGATGAGGACTTGAACTTAAGGTATCTGCAGCAGAGTTGAAGAGGAAGTTGAAAAATTTTTAAAGGTAGAGACAAAGGACTTGGTAATTAATTGAATGAAGAATAAGAGATGAGACTAAGAGACTTATTGTAATGGATTAAGTGGCCAAATAGAAAACGGCCATTAATAATTATATGGGGCTGGACTCAGTAGCTCCGCCTGTGATCCCAGCACTTTGGGAGGCCAAAGCGAATGGATTGCCTGAAACCGCGGGTTTGAGACCAGTCGGGCCAACTTGATGAAGAGCTTGTATCTACAAGAGATCAAAAATTAGCCTAGCATGGTAGCGCTCGCCTGTAGGTCCCGCTACTTGGAAGACTGGGGCGGAAAGATCGCTGGAGTCCAGCAGTTCAATGCTGGGGTGGCCGTGAGTGTGCCAAAGCGAGACTCCAACTCAAAAAAATAATAATATTATAATTATATGGAATTTGGAGTGTGGCGGGAGAAATAATGCTGTTGGCTTTGGATATATTGAATTTAAGGTAACTTTTAGACAGCCAGAATCTTTCCAGATTTAGACACCCCTAGGCTAAGTCACAGTATCTTTGGGCCAGTTTCCTGTGGGGCTGAGTTAGGGATAAAATTCTCCAAGATTTTACTAGCATTCCCGAGTTCCACATCCTTCAAGGATAAAGGCTGGACGTTGAAAAATCCCTGGACTCTCACTGACAGGAGAATGGATATAGAGTTGGTATTTTTTTGTTTGTTTTGTTTTGAAGTGTGTGTGCGCGTGTGTGTGTAATCAGACCCTGGCTCCAGTGGAGCAGTCTTCTGCCTCTTGCAAGCATCAAACTTGAAAAAAAGAAACTTTTTTTTTTTTTTTGAGCAGCCTCTGGTGCTGACATGCCCTGGCTCTCAATTGCTTCCCAAGAAGTCCCAAGCCTCCCTTAGCGAATTTTTAAAAGAAGATGAGGTTGTATAGTGCTCAGCCTGGTCCTGCGTGACTGCTGGAGTAAGCTCTGAGTCCTGGGGACTGGGCTCTCTCCCAACCTCTGGTTAGGTGTCTTCAATGCTAAGACAAGACTCCTGTGGCCCCAACTCTTTCCAAAATGATGGGGCTGGGATCCTTTCCTGCCTAAACTCGAATACCCAATGCTCACCAGGCGGTGGCAGGGCCGAGCACGTGGTATCGTTCAGGGGCCGGCCTCCAGGGTCCTCCTAGGGAAGGGGACAGCCCAGCAGGCAAGAGGTTGGCAGGCCACCTGACCGTGGCAACCTCTCTGGCTCCTGCAGCTGATGGTCAATGGCAGGAGCACGCCCTATGTCCCATTCCCGCGTTCATAGGATGGTGCCAGAAGCCGTTGTCTCTTCTCCGCCCTCTCCTCACGCACTACCCCCGCCGTCATGCCGATAAATCTCAAGAGCAAAGGGTGGCACGATTCCTCCCGCGCCCCTGTGGGCTGAGGGCGGGCCCTAAAGCAGTGCAGTCCCAAGCTTCCCCTGCAGAAGCCGCGCTCCCCGCTCGGCCCGGGGGCAGAGGGGGCGCGAGAGAGCAAGTGGGCGGGCGTCCCATCCTCCGCATCCTCCTCCGGCTCCTGGCGCACAGGGTGGGAGCGCTGCGCTGCGCCGCGCTGCGCATCGCGGCCCGCTTGCCGCCTGCCCCCTGCCCTAGCGGGGCCACCTCCCCGGGCTGCCGGTGGAGGGCTGCGAGGCGCTAACGTTACGCCGTTTCCGGTTTTCCAGCGGGCTCTGTTTCCCCTCCCAAGGCGGCGGCGGCTGAGCGGCGGAGCCCCCCAAATGGCCTGGCCAGATGCGGCAGGGTTG